CGTGCTGACAATTTCAGCTATAAAGGTTGAATTTGTTGAAGTTGCAAGCAATTTAAAATAGGGGCTTTTAATGGAAAATCTTAACTATGGGCATCACTGTGACTCCGCCTGTAATAACTTGCTTGTCATAATATACAGGCTGCCTTGTGCTGAACAAATATCTCCATAACCTCATTCCTTAAGAAATGAATGTTTCAGTATCTAATATTATGTTTTAAAGTCAAATAAACAGTATGTTTTGGTACAAACAAATTGAGTTATGGAATTACTTACCCTCTATGCACATCACTTTGTGGGTGTGTATGTGTGATACAAAGGAGCAGACAGATGATGAAGTTAATAGCATTGCTGATCAGTGTAACTAGAGTCTGAGGACAATTTTGGCAAGGGTGTAAGGGAGTGCTGTATAAACATTCAACAAGTGGGGCACCATATCTAGAAACTTACAGTTGGGAAGAGGTAAGAGATATTTGCACGGGGAAACAAGCAACTAGTCTCATAAAGAGAGTGTAAATCACTTGCTCTGCCTTAGAGAAGTAAAAAGTCTGATGTGGAGCTAGCAGAGGGCTATAGGGAATAAAATAGAAACAAGTGGGAATATTTAGAGTGAGGTTTCTCTTTCAGTTCCCTTGTACTCTGTTTTTGTTCCTCACATTACACTTCAGAACCAGCAGTCATTGGGAGGTCAGAGTAGATGCAGCCGATTAAAAAAAATACTGTACTGTTTTGAAGAGCTGCTCTTGTTGGCAGCCCAGATTTGGCTGAACGCTGCTGTCCTGGAGAAGCCCAGTTCTTCATAATCTACTTTTCTGCTTCTCATTGTTTGGTTCTGGGTTTTTACCTCTATACCAGCATTAGGAAACTTGTGAGGTATTGAGAATAGAACAAATAATTGCCCTGTTGTTATTCACCATTCCCTTTGAAGTGAGTGACCCACTGAGACTTGGTGAATCCGTCTGTTGTGAGCCATGTATTTCTCATGTTACTTAACAGTAGTGGAAAAAGCTCCTGTGTTAAGAGGGGATTGTTATTAAGCTTTGCCATTAGTGTATTATTCACATTTTTTTCTGAATCATTGTTTCATGTTTGACAGTCTAGATTAAAAGACATCTATTAGCGTGTGCTACAAAGTTTCTGTCCATATTTGAGAGAAAAGCTTCATTTCTGTAGGAGGAGGTAAGTGAACTCAATCATCTAATTTCTGTTATCGTAGATCAAATCATCTTCCAGATAACTTTATTTTTTTATCTTACTCCTGCAGACCATTGATACTTAAAGTCGGCCCAGTTAAATGTATAAACTTCCAGAGTGTGGAGCTTCCTGTGATGGACTCTGGCAGAACGGTCTGTGGAGGAAGCTCCTCAGGGCTGCCTTGCTCCGAGGACTTCCTATCAGTCATATAATCTGACACGTTCAGCTTCACAGAAGAGAAAGTGCCATCTAAGTTCGGTGATACAGTGTCTTTGAACAAAGGGCTGGCTCTCTGTGGTGTACCTCCAGTAAGCAAATGTGTCAAATTAAGGTGTTTGAAAACATTCACACTCCGGGAAAAATTCAGAGTTCAAAACCTCCTGTGGCTCTTTCATGAGCTTAAAAAAAAATGACAAACAAAATAACTGAGTTTAAGTAAAACAGTGCAGCAGAATGATAGCACCTTATTTCTCTGGAACTTGATGAGGGGGGAAAAAAGTAGTCTATTTAGTTTTACCTGGATTTCATTAATTCAATTAACCTAATTAAAGCACCAACGCTGACTGATTACAAATGTCCTGCAGCAGCTCTTATATGACAAATGAAACAGGCTTCTACTTTTTCTAATCGTTGCCATAAACCGTGCATTTCATTAAGTAAAAACTTTGGCCAAGATCTTCATAATGTGCTAGAACACTGACTGGTCCTTAGTCTGTTGTGAAGTGAAGCCACAGATTGATTAATTAGCTGTGGATGTGGCTTTACAGATTCAGCTTTGGAAAAGTCGGCCTTTGACAGCTTGCATGGCAGTAAGAATGGCCAGTGTACAGCTGTAAGCTTTAGGTGGGGACTTGGCAGTCTTGTGGCAGGAAATTAAAATGGGTGTCTTGAAGCTATTACTGATGGGAGTGCTGTATAAACATTTAACAAATGGGGCACCATATCTAGAAACTTAAAATTGGGAAAGGATAAGAGAGATTTTCAGAGGGAAACAAGCAACTTAGTCTCATAAAGAGAGTGTAAATCACTTGCTCTGCCTTAGAGAAGTAAAAAGTCTGATGTGGAGCTAGCTAACCTTTTGAAGGATGCTGCCCGCTAAGGCAGGGACATTTGATCCGCTTCTGAGCGAGCCTGTGGGCTGACACAGGTTCCAGTGCGCTATTTTATGGCAAATAAAATGGGGGTTGTAGCATTTATCCCAAGCTGCCCACATGAGTCTTGTCAGTGCTGACTTCAGCCATCCAATTTTAATTTGCTGTCGCATGTCTGCCAGAGCATTGCAGAAGGGTGGGAGGGAGGATATTTTCTCAGATGACTGCTGTTAACATTTGCAGAATTGAATGAACAAGTCGCTGACTTAACTTCTGAGTGCCCTAGTGCCCTGTAGTGTTTCTAAGCCTGCAGAGATCACTTCAGTGCCACGTAGATCATCAGAGATCTCTCAAGTTACATGGAAAAAAGGAAAATTGATCAAAATCATGCCAGTTTTAATATTTCTACACATTCTGCGCATGCACACAGAGTATCAGGAAAGCAGTGGTGTGGGAAAGGATTAATGACTTGTTTTCTAAGGGCACTTTGCAGCTTTGGTTTTCACTAATGGCAACTACTGCACAAGCATAGCAAAATGATGGTCTTCACTCTGAGATCTGTGGGGGGATGTGAAGGGTAATATTTCTCTTATCCAGCCTGCAGAGTCGGTGTAAAAGCATCAAAAGGATGTGGTAGCTGGTAGTTCTGCAAAGCAGTTCCCCTCTGGCTGGATTCAGATCTACATCTAATAGAAATGTAAATAGTCTCCCTTTCCTGGAAGGGTGGGCATGGAGACGATGCTCACAAGGCCAGGGAAAACCTTTGTTTTATTTCTGGAGTCTAGCCCATGCTGGGACCTGAAAAATGTTACCACTGTATGAAAGTGGATTGTGGGGGCATCTACTTGAGAAGAAGGGATTGAAGAAAAAAGAGAGTATGAATGAGCTATGATGTTAAGAACAGGAGCAAATATAAGAACAAAGGTAATATCAGGAATAAGCATGATCTGAGAGAGACTTGAATTCTGAGAAAGAATTGCGGAGAGATTTGGGAAAATTACGAAGTAAGAAATATAGTGCAAATTACTGTAGAAAAGAGAAGGTATCCGGTAATCGGGGAGGGAAGTGGGAGGAGTAGGGATTGCTAAATGCAGTTATAATAGCAGCACCAAAGAGAGTGTTAATTGACAACCTGTTATAATTAACCACACTATTGCTCCCCTGCATTTCAGGAATGGATATGGCAGACAGTTTTCATTTTGGCTTTTGCATTGCTTATGCAGAGTATGCTGGCTTTCAAGCCAAGCAGCGGATACCCATTTGTGTTCAAAGACTACCTTCCAGACCCTGAGTAAACATGTTAATAATATCACTTGTCATAGGAGATGGTACTACAAATTGATTTCAGACTTTTGTGTAGTAGACAGGGAATGCAGTCTGACTCTGCCCTGTCTAAAGCTATTCATTTTGACTGTTCAAACATGAACTCTTGTCACCTGAGCCAGACACTGGTTAGTGCTGGAGGGAACTCATTGGTGTGGAGGCTCCTTCTAAATCTCCCTGGGGACGTTGGGGAAGGGACTAATCTGCAGTTGGTCCATTTTCTTGCTTTTGGGGGGACGAAGGGTGACTGTGGAGGGTTCCTATAATTAACTTGAGCTTACTTGTCCTTTACCTCTTTGTGGGATGCCAGAGCTGTGTGCTGAGAGCTTGTTTGGATGCTGTTGTTCCTTCAAAGGCTCTTCTGAGCAAATCGGACAGCTTTTGCATGCTATCTAGCAGGATTGCTTTGATTGAGATGTTGTGGAAGTATCTTACAAACCCCTTTGTTGGCAATTAAAAAACAGGACAGATGGAAACCAGTGACTGCAATTTCAGTTAAAAACAACCACTTCCCACTGCACAGAAAAGCCCTGTGAACTTGGAAAGTATAGGAATTTGGAGGTCACTGAGGACACATGTTAAAGCCGAACACTGAAAGCTGTGATAGCTCAATCACTTATCTTTATGTGTGGTGAAAGCAATGGGGTCTATAGCAAGTATTGTTTTTATTGCACAGTTTTATTTAATTTGTGAGCATTAGAGCAGTAGCGTGTGGCTCTTAACTGTTGAGAGGGGCCTTCTGGGCTACATACTATTCATGGATGAAGACCTTTTTGACTGGTATTTGATGAGACGGACCCCCCCCTTGCTAGCTGTCTGCAAGAACAGCTTTCAAAAATTTCCTGTATCAAAGTGTTCAAGGACTCTGAATCATAGATGGAAATCTCTGTGCATCCATTTTTTTTCCCCCCAGAATAATGGGTGAGATTAGTGAGCAAACCTTAAAGGCTAGCCCAGTGGCATAGCAATTCCCTTAGTTGTGTTGTCTGACTGCTTGCATCACATATGCGCTACTGTTCAGTGTGCAAATGATATACTGTGTATCTCCCTTAAATGTTAATAATGATCATGAAGGTTGAAGGCTGGTAATGCTGCGAAGATGAGGAACAGAAAGAAAATCTGGAGTGTGCTTTTTTAACAGCAGAGAGCTTTGTTGGGGGTTAGTTAATAACTGTATTGTCCTCTAATAGCTCATAACCACCATTTTACAGCTGAATTTTCTGAATGTGTTGAGTGATCAGTCCTAGTTGTTTCTTCTGTCTCTGTCCAGAACATGCAGGTTGAGAGCAAATACTTTGCAAAAGTCATTGTAGCTTAATTTGGTGTGCAGTTAGGTGTACAGTAGTTAGATGTATAAAATCTAACAGTTGTCTGTCTCTTCTTTTTTACTTGTAGGTTTATTCTTCAATCTAAAGGAGTGATTCATAATCAGCTCCTAGAAAAACAGAGAATAGCAGAAGAGAAAATTAAGGAATTAGAGGTAAGTTTTTTGGCAAATAAAGAAGATATTGACCTTCAGTGTTCTATTTTCTTCAATATATTATTTTTATCTGGTAGTTTTCATTCTAAAAGTTCATAACTAGGGGGAATTTAGGGGCTGTTATAAGTAATCTACAAGTAATTCATGTCACTTGGTTTCTTTACTAGATCTGCAAACTTGTGAGTGATACAGAGAAAGCAGATTAGGGATTGGTTGTTCACTCTCCGTCTTGCTATGAAAACGGGGGGTGAGGGGTTCAAATGAGATCAGTAAAAGCCAGGTTTAAAAATAAATGATGCATATGTGGCTCTTTGCAGCAACTAGGTAACGTGAAACTCCTTGCGAGTGCTGTGGATATTAAAAATTTACACTGGTTCAAGACAACTGTACAAATTAATGGAAGAGAAATCCATTGAGAATTACCAAATATGTAGAAATTACATCCTAGTTGGGAAGTCCCTGAGCTAAAAATGTCTGGAGGCTGGGAAAGTATTAGGAGGAAGTACCATATATGCCTGCCCTGTTCTTACACTCTGCCTTAGGCATCCGCTTGTGGCTGCTGTTGAAGACAGGATACTGGGGAAGATGGGACTTTGTTCTAACATTGTGGTCAGAGCACTTCCGTATTCTTATGTTTATCTAGCTGGAATATTTGAGGGAGAGAAGAATATCTAGGAAATATAAAGCAATCCCTGTGCAAGTTCCAGCTGCTCAAACAAGTTATCTCGTGAATCTTGACTATCTTCTAGTGGTTACATGTACGGTTTACTGTTCTTTGGAGAGGGGTTCAGAATGTACTTTTTCAAGGCTGTTAGTGTTATTTTTTTCTTAATGCCCCTAAAATAGAATTAATACAGACCCCTGTTCCTTTAGTTTTTAAGGAATGACAGAGAAAACAAAGACTGAGTTGAGTCAAGCTGCTTATCTAGTATCTCAGTATTTTGGACGTCTCTGCAGACCAGGTAAATAGGGACAAAGAAATAGCAGTAGGAAGTATGTACTCTGATAGGACTGCACAGTTGTTGTCTCCTGCTTACACTAAAGCAAAAGTAGAGGCAATTTTTCTAATCCCGTCTTAAAACTCGACTAGGGAACTGTACGGCAAGCACATCACCTTATGCTGCATTACATGCAATGTTTTCTGTGTTAGATGCTAAGGGGTTTTATGTTTCTGGCCGTCAGAACCTTCTTTACACTGGGAAAACAAGTACTTCATGGGTAGACCTTATATTTCAGGTAGCTCTAGTGCAGGCAAGGCTCAGGTGTTTTTAATGCTTACATAATGAAAGTGATTGTACCCTGGTTAGTCTCGAACCATCTTGGTACTGATGGCTTTGAACAAAGTCAGCCCCATGACTGGAGCCAGAGCAGCATTTCTAGAGCTGGAAATGATTGGAATGTGGTTGACAGCCTTTATTTACTGCCCATTGGGCTCATAGAGTGCCAGTTTCGTCAGGCTGTGGTCAGCTTTTCAGCTACTGTATCCTTCAGCTGCACATCTCAGTTTCTTCCCCTTCTGGGTGGGTAATGGATCTTAACTCCTGAACTTTCAGATTGGTGAGTTTAGTAGAAAGGGTGGAGTTCCCCCAAAATAATAGCCTTTGCCATTCTTGCACAAAGCCTCGGGGCTGGCTGCTTTACAGATTTCCCCACCCCCTCCTGCTTTGTGTCTCCCTGTTGCTGTGGGTCTATGGTGATTGCCACTCAATTGAAGTTCCCAGCAGTGGTGATCATCTCGGAAGGTGAGGGGAGTGGGAAGGTGGCTGCCATTGCAATGCTTTTTCTTTTTAACTATAGATAATAGGGCTCAGATTGGCAAAACTTTCAACCATTTGCTTAAGGTGAACATTCAAGTCTACCTTTTAATTATTCTGTTTGCAGCTGACTGGCAGTTTTGAGAGAACCATGTTCCTTAGGCTTGGGATTCCCCACAGGAAGAAGACAAGCTCATAGACTGACAGCTCCTGGAAACTAAGATTTCAGGGGAAGTACCTGAGTCCAAGTTAGGGAGCACTTATGGAAGGAGTAGGGGATTTTGCTGTCCTGAAAACAAGTTGTGACAGAAGCAGGAAAGAATGTGAAACTTACGTGACCTTGTACTTCCACTACAACATTGTCAAATATCAGACAAAGATAGTCAGGTTAAAACTTCCCTCTATCAATTATTAAAGCTAGAAGGATTTTAAAGCTTGGGTTTACATTTAACATTAACTACCTTAGCACTTACTCATTTAGCTCACTTTGCATAGTTGAACCAGGCCAATCAGTGTAATGCTCCAGTGTCCATACAGTGTGGCTGATCTGGTTGCTCTTGTAATGTGAACTCAGACAATTATGCATTGCTGTTACAGAGCTATTGCCAAGGCACTGTGAATTGTGTATTTTTGATACATCTCCGATGAAGCTGAGAAATGCCCTCACTGGTAGCTTGCTCCTGTTTCCAGAGGAGCACAGGTCAGAGGGTTGGGCTGACTGCTAAGCTCTCTTGTAAAGCCATCCATTTGTGTAGCAAGGAGAGTGCTGAGTACTGACTATTCCTGAAAATGTGGAGTTTAATCTGCCTCAGAGATGTGAGCCGAGTTTCCTGAAGTTCACAGCGGTCTGAATGAACTTGGAAAACAGAAATAGGTTTTGCCTCTGGTTCAAAAGCTTCTTTTCTGCCTCCTTTGCCAATCTCCACAGCAATGAATGATTTCAGTTATTCTTTCTCTCACTCCCTTCTCTTGGATTCCTCTGCTGTTGAAGCTATGCCTTGCCTTTTTCATGGCAGCCTCACAAAATGGATATTGTATTGTCAGTCTGCTCTTGCCTGCTGCTCGTTGCATGGCAAAGCCTGAAGCAGCAGGAGAACCAGAACTGTCTTTATGCAGAACTGAAAATAACGCTTGGCTGGAATGTGCATTTGGTGTACTTTGTGAGATGAACTTTGTGACCATGCTCCTGAAAACACCAGAGGAATATGGATATGCATAAATAAACAAGGATGCCAATGTATAGTCCGTCAGCTAGCGTGCAGAAAAAGCAAGGTAGCTTTATCCTTTTTGTTAAAAGTAACATGAATGTATATATATACTTAGCATACTTCACAACTTGTGCATAATCCTCTGGAATCCAAATAGACTGCCTAGGCTTGCTTGCAAAATACACATGCTTGCTTGAAGGCTGTGCCAGCAAGGCTTGCAAAAATCTTCTTGGATACTGCAGAGATTGATGGTGTAGGCTCCATACTCAACATGGGAAGCTTCCTGCTTAGCAGTAGCGATTGGATTTTTCCAGTCCTGATAATATCAAATTCTTGTTGTGTTTCACTGTACAAGGGGTGTGTGTTAAATCTATTTTGAAAGCATTCTAAAGGGATGAGCATAGGCTCTTTTTAGCTCAGCAATGTTTGTGCAGTATTAGGAGAAAAACCGAGTAATGTTTTTCTTCCCTTGTTTTTAAGGAAACATGATATGTGAGGGTTGGAACAATGCTTTGTTTCAGGAAACGTTATCCGTTTCCACTCTAGGGCTAGATGGATTCTGTTTTTAATGTGGCTTTTTTAAAAAGAGCAAACTCTATGATGTTATAAAGACACGGAAAATTGATTCTGTAAGGGGTGGAGAAAGCGATTATTGCTGTGTGTTTTCTCTGGTAATATCTGATAATCCCCCCCTCTCTCCTGCTATATTTGGCATGTTTAGTTGTCAGGCGTTGTCAGACTAAATTGCTAAAAATAACAAATAAGGGGGAGGCTGTGCTGGGCAGCTCTGGCCGCTGTGTGTCACTGAATTTAGTTCCTTCATGAAAAGGGCAAAAGCAACCTGCTGCTTTCTTGTTGAACTGGATTTCTGTTTTAAAGCTCTGACCGCAACATTATTGTGTGCCTATTCCCTAGGCAATTCTTTATGCACATGTATGGGAGGGTGAAGGTTTACTGTTGTGGAGCTAAAGGTTCAACATGTGGCTGGAAGAGAAAACATGATCTGGAGTGTTTGCCTTCTAATGCAGAAATTCTTCATGTAATCCCTAAAATTCTATGTTCAATTGTCCCATCCCAGGCCCGAGTTTTCTTTGTTCTCATTGTCATGATGGAGAAATAAATACTTTCTCTCAAACGCCAGTATGCTTCTCATTTAATGGCTTAGATGGTTCTGCAATGCTATCTTCTGGTAGCAAAAAGTTAAAATGTTGCTGTATTTCAGTGCCTTGCGGTGATTAGATGTCAGAGCTAACAACAGAGTTCTTTTCCTGGTAGTGTCTGGACGTAAACGTGCTTGTGCTGCAGCTTCCATTTCTCTAATCTTCTTTCTCTAGGAGCTTTAAAATGGCTTTGCTGCAGCCCTGCGGCATAACGCTGTCACCCCTCTTCTTGATGAGTCTAGCAGCACGTCTCTGATGGTTGGCACAACAGTTTTCTCATACCCTGTGGGAACAAAGATTTAAACAGTCAAGGTGTGGCTGAGGAGAAGTGCCAGATCCCGGGACTTCAAGTTTCTTGTTCTCTGAGCAGGTATGGCTTGGATGGACCTGCTCCATGTGGCCACGCATCTCTGCTGTGCTCCCGTGGCAATTCTCTAGACGATCCTGTAGTTTTATGCTGAAACTGTCAACGTGGAGGCTAATGCTGAAGGTAGCTTTAATGATGTGAAAACGAGTCTCTTGAGATTTGTGGTGGATTTTACAGACCACTAAACAACCATAAGAAGGTAGCAATGTTAGGCCGTTACCGAGCTGGACCAATTTCTTCACAAGATTTATAGCCGAGAAGCTCTAATCCCATTGTTTGAATGGTACAGACCAGTGCCCAGGAATGTGTGGTGGGCTTCTTAAATAAACAAGGGAGAATAAGGAATGCTCCTGTTTGCTTTGGAGTGGGGAAGCCTCAAGAATAGGTCTCTGTGCCTTAGTCTGGAGCAGATTTTATTTTGGATGAGTGTACTTTTTCTCTCATTCCATCACTGGCATATACGCGCGTTCCTATGACATGATTTTAAACCTATGTTATTACAGAAGCTGCA